AATTGGTCGATGTTTGTCTGTTTCAGGGGGTGGCATATGATCAAGAACTAACATTATTGAAGGCAGAAGTTGAAGCTGCACTGAAGGAATTGATGAAGAACAAGGCTCCAGGAATTGACAGAACATCCATGGAGATGTTTCAACAAATGGATGCCGCACTGGAACTACTCATTTGGTTATGCCAAGAGATTTGGAAGATAGCTGCCTGGCCATCTGACTGGAAAAGATCCATATTTGTGCCCATTCCAAAGAAAGGTGATCCTACAGAATGTGGAAATTATTGAACAATATAATTAATATCACATGCAAGTAAAATCTTACTGAAGATTATGCAAAAATGGTTGCAGCAGTATATTGACAGAGAGCTTCCAGAAATGCAAACTGGATTCAGAAGAGGACGTGGAATGAGGGTTATCATTGCTGATATCAGATGGATCTTAGCTGAAAACAAAGAATACCAGAAAGATGTGTACTTACGTTTTACTGACTATGCAAAAGCATTCGACTATGTGGATCATAACAAATTATGGATAACATTGAGAAGAATGAGAATTCCAGAACACTTGATTGTACTCATAAGGAACCTGTACATAGACCAGGAGGCTGCTGTTCAGATAGAACAAGGGGATACTCCATGGTTCAAAATCAAGAAGGGAGTGTGTCAAGGTTGTATCCTTTCACCATACTTACTCAACTTGTATGCTGAGCAGATAATCTGAGAAGCTGGACTATATGAAGAAGAACATGGCATCAGGATTGGAGGAAGACTCATTAACAACCTGCGATACCCAGATGACACAACTTTGCTGAAAGTGAGGATGACTTGAAGCACTTAATGATGAAGATTAAAGACTACAGTCTGCAGTATGAATTACTCCTCATTATAAAGAAAACAAAAATCCTCACAACTGGTCCAATAAACAGCTTCACAGTGGATGAAGAAAAGATTGATGATGTTGTTAAGGATTTCATATTACTTGGTTCTATAATCAACACCAATGGAAGCAGCAGTCAAGACATCAGACGATGTATTGCATTAGACTAATCTGCTGCAAAAGACCTCTTTCAAGTGATGAAGAGCAAAGATGTCTCTTTGAAGACTAAGGTGCACCTAACCCATGCCATGGTCGCCTCATATACACATGAGAGCTGGGCAGTGAACAAGGAAGACTGAAGAAGAGTTGATGCTTTTGAGTTGTGGTGTTAGAGAAGAATGCTAAGGGTATCATGGTCTGGCAAAAAGACTGACAGACCTGTGCTGGAGTAAGTGCAGCTGGAATGCTCTTTGGAAGCAAGAATGGCCAAATTTTGTCTCATCTACTTTGGTCATGTTATCAGAAGGAACCATTCCCTGCAGAAGGATATCATGCTTGGTAAATGGAGGGTCAATGAAGAAGTGGAAGGCCCACAATGATTTGGATAGACGCAGTGCCTGAAACGATGGGCTCAGGTATAGCAAGGATCGTGAGGCTGGCACAAGACCAGCAGTTTTTCATTCTGCTGTGCATAGGGTCGCTATGAGTCGGAGATGACTTGACGGCACCTAACCACCACCACTACAACAATGAAACATGTTGTTTATAAACCACAATTATTTTGATTTTGTTGCTGATACGACCATCTTCATAAAATTTTTTTTTACTTTTTAAGTATGTATTTTTAGGGAGTAATCACTATAGGAGTCCTAACTCAGCTGCTAACCAAAAGAATGGCAGTTTCATCCCACCTAGCAGCTCTGGCTCTGCTGGAGAAAGATACGGCAATCTGCTCCTGTAAAGATTACAGTCCAGAAAATCCTGTAGGGCAGTTCTACTCTGTCATGTGGAATTGCTGTGAGTTGAAATTGATTTGTTGGCACCCAGTAAAAACAACAACAGTCTTTCTACATCACAAAAATGTTTTTTATAATCTTGGAAAAAGGCTTAGCAGTACAAATAATTAATTTGGATAAGTCTGTAACAGCAACTGCCACTGCTAACAGATGCAATGTATTTCCACAGAATGCCAATAAAAAGAGAAGGAAAAATTCAAGGAGGAAATTGGGGGGTGGGGAGAAGCCAGCACACCTATAGTGTGGAATAATAACCAGTGAAGTTAAAAAGACACAACACAACAGAATTTACAGTAAATTGAGTCAACTCTGGAAATGTTCCACTGTTTTTCTTTCATAAAAAAATTTCATCTCTTAACCCTGTTATCCATGCTAAAGCAGTATGTTGTGTTTTGGTTATTTCTGTGCTGCTGTTAACAGAAAATACCACAAATGGGATGGCCTTAACAAACAGGAGTTTATTATCTGACAGTTTGGAGGCTTTAAGTCTGAGTTCAAAGTGCCAGGCTCTAGGGACTGGGTGAAAGCCCCTCAACCTTGGGCTTCCAGTTCTGCTTCCTGATCCCAGCCCATTGAAGCTGGAGGCTTTCTTCACTCAGACAGCTGCTGGCTGCTGAGACTGACAAGCCCAAGGTTGACAAGTGAAAAGGCACAGTCTTGATGTTACCAAACCACACAGCAGGCCATTAATTCAAGTCCATTGAAAGTCCCAGGGTTGGCAGAGCATGGCAGGCTGATGAACAATGACATGGCTACATGCAGGGTTCAAGTGTGCCATAAGCTAGAGACCATTCCCAAAGCTGTTTCTTATATATGGGAAGCAGACTACATAACCAAAGCAGCTACTCAGCTGCTCCAATAGATTCCACCATGGAGTCAATTACCATTCTCACCATGGGGAATAACTACATTCAGCTGCTCAGCCACTCAACCAGGCCCAGCCAAGTTGACACACAAACTTAACCATTACAGTTCTATTCCTATGAATGGCTTGAGGTAGTACCTTTTTCCTATGCCTAAATTAGTGATAATGTGATTAGCAGTACGAAGCTTTACTCTCTACAGAATTTATCTGCTCCTTGGTCATGTTGCAATACTATATATTGCATACATACCTAATATATGTATATATTAATATTTAATGCAGCATTAACTCTTGGTCAACAATTATGACTAGATATATTTTTCTTTGTTTGCTCAGAACAAACCTATGACAAGAGTAGGCACTGCATCAGCCTAATGCCAAAGGGATAAACCCAACATACAATTCTTGTTGATACTATTAAAAGTGTTACGTAAATATTCTAGAGCAGAGACGACTGTTCATTACCCTTGCCTCACCATCTGTACTATAAAATAAGGTTGCTGGTGCCACAACAGATAATAATTATACTTTGAATAAACTATGCAGTGTAAAATTTAAAAAGTGAATCAATGACTTCAGAAAGAGAATATATTTTTAATTAAAAAAAAAGAGAAGCTATGTGTTTTGGTCTGTACTAAATAAGGAAGTAGGATTTCTGTGTCCTTTTCTCATCCTCAAGGACCTCAGGTGGCATCGTGGTTAAGGCATTCAGCTGCTAGCCAAAAGGCCAGTGATGATTTAATTCCAACAGCTGCTCTGTAGGATAAAGATGAGGTAGTCTACTTCCATTAGATTTAAAGCCTTGGAAACCCTGTAGAGCAGTTCTTCTCTGTCCCGTAGGGTCGCTGTGAGTTAGAATTGACTCAATAGCAGTGGGTTTGGTTTTTGGTTTTTCTCACCTCCAAAGTCCAGTGGACCTAAAGTCAATCTTTAGGTCTACATCACAAAAATGTAGTTTTTTTAGTAAAGCGTGTTCATGTCGATGATTAGATTGAAATTTTAGAAACAAGATTCTAGATTCTTGATGCCTTCAGTTTTCCTTTTAATTTTAGACTAATTAAAGGTCGCATTCTTATACTTTTATGTAGCAATTTTTAGAAAAGTGTTTATTCCTAGGGAAATTTTATGTTAAAGGAAGACTAGGTAATGTGTCTTCTTCATTTGCAATTATACAAAAGGGTTTACCTGGGCTTTTCAGAATATATGAATATTTTAATAAATCTGATTAAGAGAGTGTCCACTTGAGGGAAATGTTACACACTTGTGAGAGTTGTTGTTAGGTGCTGTCAAGTTGGTTCCAACTCATAGTGACCCTGTGTACACTAGAACAAAACCCTGCCCTGTCCTATACCATCCTCACAGTCGTTGCCATACTTGAGCCCATTGTCGCAGCCAGTGTGTCAGTCCATCCCATTGAAGGTCTTCCCCTTTTTCACTGACCCTCTACTTTGCCAAGCATGATATCCTTCTCTGGGGATTTGTCCCTTCTGACACCATGTACAAAGTATAAAAGATGATGTCTAGCCATTTGCACTTCTAAGGAACATTCCAGCTGTACTTCCTCCAAGACAAATTTGTTCGTTTTTTTAGCAGTCCAAGGGTATATTCAGTATTTCTTGCCACTGCCACAATTCAAAGGCATCTATTCTTCTGTGGTCTTCGTCATTTCATTTGAATGAACAAAAAATTAGGGTATTTTTAATTAAAAAAAAAAAAAAAGAGAAGCCATGTATTTAGGATGTTGCTAATTCTCTAAGCAATTTTTCATAGTCCCTACACAAGAAATAAGGCTTTTGGGTCAAGTAATTACAGCTATTTCAGCAGCATTTTGTTAATAGCCATGTGTAACAGTATATGGTACCATTGATCTTCTCCATGTTTGGGTTCTGAATGAATGGGCAAGTGCAGTGGTAAAGTAAATGTGTGCCTGTGGTTACTTTTAGAGTTTGTTTTAACATCTTGTTCCTTAAAGTATCTTCTTTTTGATTACCTGCAAATGGACAGAAGATACTTGTGATCACATGAATTTTTACCTACTTGGATAGATTTTTTATTTTTCCTGTTACCCTGAAGGCAGGTTCAGTGTAACTGTTACCTTTATATTGCCTTTTCTCAAATAGTTCTCTGCCATTGAGACTTGCCCCTAGTTTAGTAAACATATGTTGAATGAATGAGTAAATCCATGGATGAATGTTATTTTCCCCCATCTTAATAGTTTCGTACATATCCTAATAGCAAATGCCATGGATTTGTCATATTGTAGGATAAATTATTTCTTACTTTGTTTATTTCTTTGTTTTTCAGTCACTGGAGGAAGATCCATGGCCAAGGCTGAATTCTAAGGACCATATACCTGCTCTTGTTCGTAGTAATGCCTTCTCGGAGAATTATTTAGAGATCCCACCTGAGATAGCACGAGGGAATGTCCAGGCTGTAGTCGTACCCTCAAAAGATCCAGATCCACTTGAGGAAAATTGCACTAAAGCCTTGACTTTAAGGATACATGATTCTTTGAATAATAGTCTGTCTGTTGGCCTTGTACCTACCAATTCAACAAACACCATCATGGACCAAAAAAACGTAAAGATGTCAACTCCTGGTCAAATGAAAGCCCAAGAAGTTGAAAGAACCCCTCCAGTAAACTTTAAAAGGACATTGGAAGAATCCAACTCTGGCCCCCTTATGAAGAAGCATAGACGAAATGGCTTGAGTCGAAATAGTGGTGCTCAGTCTACAAGCCTTCCCACAACCTCACAGCGAAAGAACTCTGTTAAATTTACCATGAGACGCAGACTTAGGGGCCAGAAGAAAATTGGAAATCCCTTACTACATCAGCACAGGAAAACTGTTTGTGTTTGCTGAAGTCTTTCTGGGAAATGGGTTTTTTTCCCCAAAATTTAGGATATAAGAGGGCTTTTTGAAGTTGGTACAGAAGTTGAACTTTTTTAAGGGGAGAAAATAAAAAGGGTACATAGTTTCACTTTTTGGAATTCAACAGTTTTATCCTAGCCTTGTACTTTGCTTGTATTATAAATGTGAATTTTGTAGATGTTAGGTTATAAGCTGCTGTAAAATGTGTGTAAATTTGGATCCTTTACAGAAATTCACTCTTACTCTGATACACAGTAATTGTGACAACAGGGCTAAATGTTTAAAAAAAAAAATCAAAAGACTATTAGATTTTAGAAAAATGTTTAAACTTTTTAAAATGCTTATTAAAAAAATTTGTATAAGCCACTTGTGATGAGATCTAAGCAACTTTTTAAACTAAATTATTAAGCAAACTGGAAAAGTGATGTATTTTCATAGTGACCTGTGTTCCATGTAACGTTTCTTAGAAACTACTAGTGTCTTTTAAAAAATATTTTTTATTTCTAATTTCATAATTCAGAACTAAAATTTTCATAGAAGCAGAAGTGTTGAGCCATGCTAAAGTAGCTGGATGTTAGTCTCACTGTCCCAGTTAAAATACCTATGCAGTATCTCTTATTTCAGTAGCGTTTTTGTAAAACATTAATCAGATACATTCACCACATCCCTATTTTGCAGTGAAAGGAGGTGTGTTTGCCTAAAAAAATGCCTTTCTCAATCATCCCAGACATTCAGTGGCATTATTAGGTCTTAAAGTAGTTACCGCCTTAGAAGGCTAGTGTTTGGCTTAAAATATGTGAAGTTTTTCTTGCTGTTTCAATAACGGATGGTGCTGCTAATTCCCAACGTTTCTTAAATTATTTTATATCGTACAGTTTTATTGATTATATGGATATATGTTTGTTCATCTAATAAATCAGTGAACTGTTACTGATGTTGCTGGATTTTTGTTGTTTTTGGTTTGTTTTAATGGTAACATACTTACCTCTATTGTGCCCTGATCATGCTTTAGATTAACAGCTTAAATTCATATAATGTTCATTTTTGTATTCTGAATTTTTATTTTAATGTAGAATGGAAACAGGGTGAATATCCAACAATAACAATTTGGTTAAGTCAGTTATGGCTTATTTAAGCATTTGATGGAATACTATCTAGCAATTGAAAATGAATGAAAACTTGAGTACACTTGGTAATATAGGATATACGAACAGACTAGAAGGAACTAATAACTAAAACACTGAGAGTATATATCCTTTTTGGGGTGGTAAATTATGTTCTACAAAAAGAAACTTTTGTACATTTATATAATTTTAGTCATCTCAGATTGAAAAATTGATTCATTCAGCATTCATCACGCACTTACACTGTACTACGAACTCTGCAGTGGAAAGGATACCAGCTTTCCAAAGGAGGACTGATTAGTGGTCTAGGTGAAACATTATTTCATGGCTGTTGTTTGTTTTTTTAAAAGGACTTTTAGATACTGAAGAGTTTGTTTTTATCAGATATTTCCAAGGAAAAGACAGCAACTGGTGGACACTTTAGGAGTCAATGTATTGTGAAGGATTTTCCATCTTAGTCCTATATATTGTCTTAACTGCACCAAAAAGAAATTCAGCAAATCTGAATGTATCCTCAAGAAGAATCATTTAGCTACTTTTTACTTTTTCTGCCAGTGGTTCTAATGAAAATAATCTTATGTCTATATGAAATTAAGATTTGTATTGCATTTGAATAATGAATTATATGTTTATTTTTCAAATCAATTTTTTATATAATTATTTCCTACATCACATTTCTTTAAAAATCACATTATTTTTTAGTGCAGTAGAGTCCAATTCCGTATCATACTAGTTGTTGGTTGTTGTTGTTGTAGGTGCCGTCGAGTCATCTCCCGACTCATAGCGACCTTATGCACAGCAGAACGCAATACTGCCCGGTCCCGAGCCAGCTCCATGATTCTTGCTATACTTGACCCCGTTGCCGCTGCCACTGTGTCAATCCACCTTGTTAAGGGCCTTCCCCTCTTTTGTCGACCCTCTACCTTACCAAGAATGACATCCTTCTCCAGGGAATGGCCCTTTCTGACAACATGACCAAAGTATGTACAATGAAGTGTGGCCATTCTCACCTCCAAGGAGCATTCTGGCTGCACTTCCTCCAGGACAGACCTGTTAGTTCTTTTAGCAGTCCATGGTACTGTCCCCGTTCTTTGCCAACACCGCAGCTCAAAAGCATCAACTCTTCTTCGGTCTTCCTTATTCATTGTCCAGGTCTCACATGGATATGAGGCAATTGAAAATACCATGGCTTGTGTCAGGCGCACCTTAGTCCTCAAGGAGACATCTTTGCTCTTTAGCAGCTCTGGTAGCATAGTGCCTAAGGCACTTGACTGCTAACCAGAAGGCTGGCAGTTCAAACCCACCAGCCACTCCTCGGAAGGAAGGTTGGGTATTCCTACTTCTGTAGTGATACTGCTTGGGAAACCCAAGAAACGGTCGCTATGAGTTGAGGCCGACTCGATGGCAAATAACAACAACAACAACACTTGAAAGAGGTCCTTTACAGCTGATTTGCTCTAATTTTGGAAACTTCTTAGTTTAGCAAATGCTAAAGTAAGTTCTTTGTCCTTAGGGCTGTGGCTAGACTTATTTTTTATGGAAACTGCAGATGTTATATAATCACGAATAATGTTTCTACTAATTTATTTGCTCATATGAAATGTAAATCAGTAGTATAATACATGATGGAAATGCATGATATATAAAATGATACATAACGAAAAGCCTTCAGGTAGCCAACATTTCCTCCCCATTTTTTGGTGTATTCTTCAGAGATAATGTATGCATAGACACATGACTATACATGTGTTTATCTTCTAACTTTATATCCTGAAAGTTTTTCCACATCAGAGAGCATCAGAGAGCCTCCTTGTTCTTTTGTATTCTTAACAGTGGATATGTTATTTAACTATGCCATTATATAACCAGGTCCGTAGACTTGTTCTTTTCAATATTTTGCAGACCTGATAATTCTATGTATTTTTTCTTCAAAAAGTAAAATATGTATGAGTTTTCTATTTCTGTATAACAGTATCCCAAAATTTAATAGCTTAAAGCAAGAAGCATTATCTCCACAGTTTCTGAGGGTCAGAAATCTGGGTGTGGCTTACGTCATGTGGTTGCAGTCTAGATACTAACCACGACTACAGTCATCTGAAGGCTTAGTAGGCTGGACGATCTGCGTCCCACAAGGCTCACTCCTACAAATATTGGCAGGAGGCCTCAGTTCCTTGCCATGTGCACCTCTTCACAGTGCTGCTCACAACATGGTAATTAGCTTTAATTTGTAGCAAGCAATACTGGAGAGAGCAAGGCAGAAGCAACAATGTCTTTTATAACTTAAACTCAGAAAAGTCATGCTATTAATTTTGCTATATTTTATTGGTCACTGATAGAATGTGGGAGGCAACTACACTGGAATACTAGGATTTGGGAATCATTGGAGGACATCCTGGAGGCTGGCTATAACGTTTAGAAGTTAAAAGCATAAATCATTTAAATACAGGCTAACATTGCTTTTATAAGCTGTGTATTAGGCATGTTTTGGTAATAGACAAAATGGACAATGCTAATTTTCATCATCTTACCTGATACCTGATGATCGCGCTAATGGAGTAAAGCATTTCTGTGTATTTTTTCCTCCTAAATATACTATATCACTAACAAAAAGGGGAAACTTAAATTTTAATCTTCAAAGCAAAAATTTTGGCAATATTAATGGTTGCATTAGAGATTACAATATACATGTTGTTGTTGTTGTTATTTACCATCTAGTCAGACCTGACTCATAGCAACCCCTCCTTGGGTGTCCGAGGCAGTATCACTATGGAAGTAGATTGCCCAGCCTTCCTTCCAAGGAGTGGCTGGTGTGTTTGAACCACCAGCCTTCTGGTTAGCAGTCAAGTGGTTTAGCCACTATGCTACCAGAGCTCCTTACAATATATATACTTAACTTTTTATAGACTACTTAGTATGTTACCATTTCAAGTGGAATGTAGAAATCTTGTTTGGTGCTGTCAAGTCATTTCCGACTTATAGCAATCCTATTCTGCAAAGCAGAACAAAACACCGCCCGATCCCACACCAGCTCTATGATCCTTGCTATACTTGAGCCCATTGTCGCAGCCACCGTGTCAGTCCATCTCATTGAAGGCCTTCCTCTCTTTCATCAACCCTCCACTTTACCAAGCATGACATTCTTCTCCAAGGAATGGTCCCTTCTGACAACATAACCAAAGTAGGTGATACGAAGTCTGGCCATTCTCGCTTCCAAAGAGCATTCTGGATGCACTTCCTCCAGGACAGATCTGTTCTTTTAGCAGTTCACAGTACTTTCAGCATTCTTCACCAGCACCACAGCTCAAAAGCATCAACTCTTCTTCAGTCTTCCTTATTCATTGTCCAGCTCTCACATGCATATGAGGCGATTGAAAATATCATGGCTT